CAGAAATCACACCATCATATTTCCAAATTAACAACAACCTTTAAACATAATTAAGCAATAGCAGCTGTCATTACATGTTTTTTTCTGATTACTGCTAATCCCTTTTCAGACACTTTACCAAGGTTTCAAACATACACATCTAAACTACACAAACTTAGTCTTTTAATAAAATAGAAAAATATTCTCAGTATTATCATAAGAAATCAAAGTTATTTGAAATAATGTCAAAGTAAGCATGGTTGGATTCGGAAATACTAAACCTTTTTTTTTTTCACTTGCAATTTGCAAAGTAATGGGATTTGACTTCAAGCATGGCCTGGTGAAGAGATACCTTATCTTCTTTCAGCAGGGTAAATGACTGTATTTCCTTCCTCCCAACCTCCCCTGGTAATTTACTACACAGGGGTATATAATACAGCCTAGATCACTGACACACCTTACCATATCGGTCTGCTTCTCTTTGGAAATAAGACAAACATTTCATCTAACAACAGGGAATTCGATTGTGACCTCATTTTTTATTTTTCATGACAGCGTTGAGGAATACTTCTGACATGTTTCATGGTACACAATCACAAAAACGGAATGTTTAGAGTGGTATTTTTAAAAGCCACAACAAAGTAGTTGCAAGATTTATCCATGTGACATTTGTTTGGTAGGGTTGGGGGCACTGATCGAAAAAATAATTCTGTGACAGGCATCTATTTTTCAGTCAGTGAGTGTCATGCACATTCATCTTGTCCACACTCTGTGTCAGGGCACGCACTGTGATCAATGGTGATATGGTACAACAGTCCATTTTCTCTGTCATGACACACTCTCAATGTCATGGCACACAGACAGCCAGTCAACACTCTCTCAGTGTCATGACACAGACAGCCAGTCCACAATCTCCCAGTGTCATGACACAGCCAGCCAGTCAACACTCTCTCAGTGTCATGACACAGGCAGCCAGTCAACACTCTCTCAGTGACATGACACAGTCAGCCAGTCCACACTCTCTCAGTGTCATGACACAGACAGCCAGTCAACACTCTCTCAGTGTCATGACACAGGCAGCCAGTCAACACTCTCTCAGTGTCATGACACAGGCAGCCAGTCAACACTCTCTCAGTGACATGACACAGTCAGCCAGTCCACACTCTCTCAGTGTCATGACACAGACAGCCAGTCAACACTCTCTCAGTGACATGACACAGTCAGCCAGTCCACACTCACTCAGTGTCATGACACAGTCAGCCAGTCCACAATCTCTCAGTGTCATGACACAGACAGCCAGTCCACACTCACTCAGTGTCATGGCACAGTCAGCCAGTCCACACTCTCTCAGTGACATGACACAGTCAGCCAGTCCACAATCTCTCAGTGTCATGGCAGTCAGCCAGTCCACACTCTCTCAGTGACATGACACAGTCAGCCAGTCAACACTCTCTCAACGTCATGACACAGTCAGCCAGTCCGAACGCTCTCAGTGCCATGAGTGAGTGAGTGAGTTGGGTTTAACACCACTTTGAACTGTATTCCTGTGATATCACGACATGTCAGCTTAAAGTGGGAGGAAGCCCAAAAGTGATGCATTTCTGACGCTTACCACTTTGGTGAAATCTACTGTAAGCATGGGTATGGTCATGATGGTGCTGCCAAACTGAGAGACATAATCTGGGTGGAACCCACATTCATAGGTGTCTGGCGTGCCCAAGACATGCAACTCTTCACAGCTAACTGCAGCACCTTAGAGGACTGATCCCTCTTCAATGTCATGACACACCGTCAGCCAGTCCAGTCCACACATTGATGTACTATAGTAGCAAACCTTAACGACTGCTTACCAGCAGACACAATTTACCAGTATTTTCAAACACTGCAATGATAGTATACACAAATCAAGCCATAATGACTCCAATTCTAAACCCGAAACAATAAGAAATGGAATGACACAGCAGGGGACTTCTCACATTGTACCAATATGGCCTCCCAAACCATACGTCCATAGTGATTAACAGACTATTGTTCATATCAATAGGACATTTAGGGCACTCGTAGGATTCAAAGGATGACATAGGACTTGTTCCCATCAAGAGCTGAATGTATAGTCTGTGTCTGTAATCATGTCATTGTATACATACAGGCAATGATGGTGTAACTATGGTGGAAGTATTGAACAAACTCACACTTGGACAAAAAAACAAACAAACGACAATTGGATGTGTTACATCAACAGACTCTCATAACATACATCATTGTTATACCTCTATTAAGAATCTTGCAATTTCATTGGTTAATCTGTACATGACAAAACAATACATTTCCATGTAGACCCCGAAATCGTGTGACTGACACTGACCTCAAATATTGACCTGTCAGTCACATGATCAGTATTGACCTGTCATGTCATGAATATTGACTCGTCTGTTAGAAAACAAGATGGGGCCTGGTACGAACATATAACTGTTCGCAGCTAAGTTACTGTAACGAAACAGAGAACAGTTTTAAGACTTCATAAACTTTAAGTGAATTTTGGTATAACAAAACGAATGATTACTCTTTATGAGGTAAATATGTGAAAACAACAACCCTCGGATCCGACCATTTCAGCGGTTTGACCGGACGATTCTTATGACCAGCACAGGTTGATGGGGACCTATTCTAACCAATAGTGTAACAAGGAAGTTGTTATGGATACAACTGCTGGTAATGATTGCTGAAAAAAAAAGTTTCTTGGTATTCACTTTTTAACTTTTGTTGTTTGCCTGCTTACAGAATAACATGTTCCTCATATAACAATCACTGCCATAAACAATTATTGAAAAAGTGTTAATGTCTGCTTGACTCATTGACAATATGAACCAGTTTTCAGACTCTAAATGAGACCAACAGACACTAACATGCTCAATAAAAATCTTGAGAGACTATTTTTCCAAGAAGAAACTAGTTATGTTCCATAAACATGATAAAACACTGGTGTGAATAGAATTGGACTAGTTAACTCATGATGTTAATCCCTGTACTCCAAGTCACACCTAAAAACATTTCCTCACACATACACATGCTACTTACTAGAAGTACATACCATCCATGCCACAGAAATATGTTCCATGGAGCAACCTGATTATTAGTGATATTGTTGGTCCTGTGCCATCCATAAGGATGAGACACTGTGTCACACTTAGCAGACAGGCATTGTGCCACTGCTGGAAATTTTTTCCTTTCTGCCTCACTGTCTGGTAGAAAATTTGAACATGATGAACCAGTACTTCTTTTTGTATTTATTTTGACGCTGAGTGTTAAAAAGACATTTGCAGCTGTTATGACAGTTAGGATACTCTGGCATGTATATACAAATGCAGGCCTGCAACTTTCTGGAAGACTGGTTAATTACATTTACGAGTCTCCAGATAGCCTTGAAAGGTTATTTCAGACACTGGTGACATGATGCAATATGCACTGCTGTGATACAAAAGATGTATTAGGACATAAATTGTACACTGTTCAGTCTGTGACAAACAGTTCGAGTGTACCAGCCTGAATTTGTCCTTCCATATCCTTTTCAGCAGATTTTACTACTTACATATGGACTGTCAATGTCATAAGCTAAGCTTGTTAGACTGAATGAAATTTGACTGAACTTGGATATCATATTAGCTGCCTTAGTCACAGACAGCTGATTATGATACTGTATTGTTAGATGTCTCATGCCAGGTATAATTCACTGATTTGGTTAGGTCCTTTAATCTTTCCCTTTTAATGGCAGAACATGAAGATTGACTGTAATGGCACACATCCTTGATTATCCAGTGAATCATATCTCCATTCTATAATGATATATACCCTGACCATTCACCACCACAATTTCGTTTCAGAAGCATTCTGTCCCCAAAATAGTTGATCTACCTGCTCTTAATTTTAGGACAATTTTCAGTATATTATTTAGTTATTAGATCTATATGGACAATTATTAGCTGGGCTTACTACACAGAACCGAATATTACTAGACTCTGGCTTTGGACTTGTGGCTAAAGTAAAAGGCTGCAGGAGGGGACAAAGTTAAGTTGAGCGCTGATTACAATGTTGCTTATTTCAATCATTACAGAACAGTGTGATTTAAATGGGCGTCTATCTTTAGTGTCTTCTAACCAGACTCACAACAAAGGTATGGTGGCAAATGGTTCCATTTCATATTATTCATTATAATAGAATGTAGATAATATTATTCATTATAATAGAACGTAGATAAATATACACTTGATAACTGGGGATAGTCATGACAGTGATAATAATTTTTCAAGATAATATTCACTGTTGGGTGAGGTGGGTGAATGAGTTGGGTTTAACGCCGCTTTTAACAGTTTTCCAGTTATATTGCGGCCTGTCAGCTTAATGTGGGAGGAATTTTAGTGATGCAGGTCTCAGACGTTTACCATTTCGGTGAAACCCACGAGCATGTAATATTCACTGAGATGACACAGAGAGGTCATAGAAAATTGGACAGGCATTTGCAGAAGATTTTAGAATAAATAAGTAGCAACTGATTGGAAGGTCTTGGTTGAGAAATCTCCACCCACTCAACATCCGCTTTATTAAGTTATTATCATACTATCTTCAAGTGTAATTGCTTGTATTTATTTAAAAGATAAAATAAATTAAAAAGTCTAGAGATGTGGATTTGTTTTTCACTATACCCTCTTCTAGAGCTTCATTAGAACGTACAGTATGTCCATTAGGCCCCTATTTATTCTTTGGTGATATTATTCCTCATTTAGATCTAGAGTGTTCAATTGACATATTATTTGCACGTGAAAAACGACACAAAATGATGTGTTTGTTTCAAGATAATACACATCAGAAATGTACATTTTGGAAAGACACGATCACTTGTCATGACACTATAAGTACATAACACCACATAAACGAACTTACACTGTGACTGTCAAACCAAAACAAACACGCCTGATCGAGGTTTTCTATGTCCGGTTCTAGATCGAATAGATATACATACAAACCTTTGTGAGCTGAGCGATCTTCTTTGACATTTTAAGATGCATGTCTTGTGTAACTTCCATGTCTTTCTGGGGATTTTGAGGCAACGTGCCATATTTTCCATTTTGGTAGTAGTTGAAAGACATTTTGGCACTGGTCGCCATCTTGGTCCTTGTAACCCCCTTTCAGTGTCAATCCGCGAAATTCTAAAGTTCTAAACGCCCAGTCTTCGCTTTCGAGCAGTAAACACTTAATCAGTATGATTAAAATCTGAATCCTTTGGAAAACACATCATTATTCAGTTGGAGGAAGATTTGAAGCTTGTTTGTTGTTTGTTTGTAGTTATCCAATGCGATGTTACTCAAGCGCGTAACACTCCGCGCGAGTTAGTTTACTGGTTGCCATGTGCACACCGATAGAGGGCACTATTCGCTGTTATCGCATAGCAGACGACGCGTTCTGATTTGAGGTCGATAGTAGAAATTAAATGCAAGGTACAGCAAGTCATATTTAAGCTAACAGCGACAAAACAATTAGAATCATGCTATATTGCGCGAGTTAATAATGTTAATGAAAGCAGCAACCACACAAGCGTTTCTACCTACCTATCATCCGTCCATCCATGTCTGTCTGTCTATATAAATTAATAATATAAATCATAAAGTAGATAAAAGAAATATGGATAGCAACTTCCTTATTATACTGTAATAGCGACGTTTCGGCATAGATCCTTTTACCGTTGTCAAACAAAATTGAATCATGAACATGGTGCATAATTATATATAGTGGGTGAAAGTTAATAGAAACAACAATTATACGTCAGAGGGATTAACATGAGTAGGTTAACTAATAACAACACAAGGAAAATACATCATCATGTTGTTACTATATTTTCCCTCTGTTGTTATGAGTTAACCTGTGGTGTTGTCTATGGTGTTGCCATACGTGTGGCAGTTGGGATCCACACCCTTGTATCACCCACAGACGTGTATGATATCTAGATCCTTGATCACACTCATCGCATCGCAATAAAGACCTCAACCCCGTAGTATGTGTTTGTGGACTCGTAAAAGACATTCACTAAACTTCTACAAATCTACTCATGTTTATCCCTTTGACGAATGATAATTGTTGCTGCTGTTAATCCTTCACCCACTATATATAATTCTGTGTCATGTTCATTATTAAGTGAGTGAATGAGTATAGTTTTACGCCGCTTTTAGCAATATTCCAGCAATATCACGGCGGGGGACACCAGAAATGGGCTTCACACATTGTGCCCATGTCGGGAATCGAACTCGGGCTTAGCGTGACGAGCGAACGCTTTAACCACTAGGCTACCCGACCGCCCCTCAATATTAAGTCTTGCTTGATAACGGTATAAGAATATATACCGAAACGTCGATATTACAGTATAATAAAGAACTTGTTATCCACATTTGTTTTGTCTCCTTTGTCATCCGTCAATTTCTAAGAAATACTTATCAAAGAACATATTTTAAACATCGTCTTGATGTCCTGCGTTTTAAGGACAAAACGTTTTTTTACTTGAAGCAGAGTCACCTTCAGGTAGGATCCGGCCAAAAGAATACAAACACGGGCAGTATTCCTATTTGTCCAGCTTTTACGCGTGTTAAACGGTTCCCTCAAATTAGTAAGATATACCATAGTCCATAGTGTATTCTACAGACAATAGGACAATATGCTATAACAGGATGAGCACATTTAGTGGAATTCTGCAAGGATGAGAGAAATACATTTTGCCATCACCTTAACTTTACTTGTCTCTTTAGAAGACAACAGTTGTGTTTCCGATGGATGTGCATATTTCAAAAGAAGCTGAAGACTTTGCATCAATATATACCACGGAACGCGTCAGCAATTGCCCGAGTGTCACATACATGCAGCTAGGACCGAGTTCCATGGAGTGCCATGGAGTAATCAATGCCATGTGTGAAGTGTGAAGGAGAGGTGAAATGTGGTTTAACGCAGCGACGCGCATGTGTGTGTGTGTGTGTGTGTGTGTGTGTGTGTGTGTGTGTGTGTGTGTGTGTGTGTGTGTGTTGAATGAACATTTATGAAAGCTATGTGACACTGGTGATGAATTTCACTATATTTTCAATGTAAATATTTCAATGAACAAAAGGACACGTACATTCCTAAACACTATTCAAAAAGACAAAATATGTTACACCTCCAGCAATTATTTATCTGACATAAGATATGTGTCCAAAAGAAACTATGTAAATTTCTTAGATTGATAACGCCATGTGTTTAGTTCGAAGACAAACGTACTGGCTTGCAAGGACTGATAATATAGGCCCGAGTCTAGTCCATCTAAAAGGAAACAAAGAAATATATGTTCACTCATCAAAAACCAACTTGATTATTTCTCTTTTATTACCCTACGTTCCCATCTCACGTGGTCCTTGTTTTAACAAAGGTTGGGTTTATAAATGTATATATATAAGGAAGCTAACGAACCACACTGTAGAGAATATCACAATGAAGACAAGATAATATATTGACTTGATGATACCCTTGCTTGAAAAAGTAGTAGTAGTAGTAGTAGTAGTAGTAGTAGTAGTAGTAGTAGTAGTAGTAGAAATATGTTCCAGGACGTCGCATTGAAAAAGTAAGTTGGAATCCACAGACAGTTCACTCATGAACATAATATTTTTAGACAGTTCCTAGATTTTACGTGCGCTTTAGAGACTTCTACAACACTGACAGCACGCACCGTCGAAAGTCCAGGGGCGAGGAGTGCAGTAACACTTTACTTCTAGAATCATGACACTTACTTCGCATGATACCACCATACCACGTGTCTAAATTCACTGGCAAGAGTTAGCTGCATCATGTTTTTTTTCTATATTACAGTAAAGGGCCTTCTGTGTAGAATTGTCAACTGTACATCAAATATGTTTTCTTTGAAATTCCATATTTTCCATGTAGTGCACATATATTAACTGTAATATAAAGTGGTGTAATTGTTATCTTATTGCAAATAACAACATAATATTTGGCCCTTCCTTTGAGCAATGTTTTATAATAACGAATTCACTGACAAAACCCATACTTAGTAACAGGAAGCAGAATGTTTGTTTGTTGTTTAACGCAACACTCAGCAATATTGCAGTCATATGACGGCGGTCTGTAAATAATTGAGTCTAGACCAGACAATCCAGTGATTGACATCATGAGTATCGATCCACTCGATTGGGATACTACGACATGCACCAACCAAGTCAGCGAGCCTGACCACCCGATCCCGTTACAAGCGTAGTCGCCTTCTACGGCAAGCATTGGTTGCTGAAGACCTATTCTGACCCGGATCTTCACGCGTGAGGAAACAGAGTGACACCCTAAAAGAGGGGTGGTGTAACAAATCAGTTAACAATGTCAATATCGGGTGTGGGTCTCACCCAATTTGTCAGATACCCCAGTTGTTGGATACCTTAACAGCGTTAGAAATTGGCACTAGTCCTATAGTCCTTTTACTATATGTTATCATTATAAGGACTAGTGGACGAAAACTGTTAGTTTCTACCGCTCCTCAAAATCACAAATGCCACTGTTGAGTTCAACCCAAATGGTGAAATGGTTGAGTCCAATTTCCCAGACACCTTATGAGAATATAAGACTTATTATACTTAAATGAAAAGATATCTATTGTGTTTCATGGGTTTTAAACGTCACACACATAGTTCAGCTTGATGTAATACGTCACAAGGTTTATAAAGTACAGATTTCTAAGTGTTTTTTTTAATATAATATGAAAGAAAGTGTTTATAGAAAAATGAACTTTATATATGATTCAATATATCCTATTGATAGTGTTGAAACGTAGAAGTGAAGATTAATTCTAACGAATTAAGATTTATGTGGTAATGAATTTGAGATTGATTTCTTATGTTCTTCACATTTTTATAAGCTATCTAATCCAGTTATCTCTGACAATATATGCACAATTTACTAAGACATGTAAATTGACAGAGCTCAGTATTCTCGTAAGAAGCTGAGGCGAGAACTTACAATCTTACGTTGCTTTACTGATCAAATGGTTCATTGGTTAAATGTAGTCGGGTAAAAAGTAAAACAATAATTATATAATCCTATTCTCTTTGAGTAGACTATTTTTTACCCATTAACTTCAAACGTCTTTATGTATTTATTTGATCTTATTTATACAGAGGATGAAGTATGTATGGATGGGTCCATTACCACAACAAGTAAATCTCAAATGATTTGACAAGCCATCTCTACTCCACTGTCTAACAGATGGGGTATCTGACATTTGGGGTATCTGACAACTGGGGTATCTGACAATTGGGGTATCTGACAAATTGGTATGACCTGGGTGTCCAGGAGAACGCTTAAGCGATGCTTGCATTACTCAACGTTGTCATTTTGGAGGCTGAAGAGTAATGGTATGGGGTGGCATCACAACTTATTGTTGTTAATGGCAATTTGAATGGCGACGCTACCAGGCCGACATCGTTCGAGATCATGTTATATCCTTTGTGCAAATGCAGGGACGTAAGGTCACGTTGCAGCAGGATAAAGCCCTCACACGTTGCACGTGTTGTAACATACTTTCTGAGGCAGCATAACATCAGACATCTCTCTCATAGCACATGTCTGGGATGAGTTAGATGGACGCCTACGACAGGACCAGAACCAGCCGGTAACAGGCAAGCTCAGTTGGGCCAGTCTCAAAGGCTGCTTTCAGTCATCTGGTGTCTTTAATGCACCGCCGCTGTCTCGCCTGTAGCAACGCAAATGGTCACCAGATAGGGATGCTGATATGCTCTGTACTTTTCTTTTTGTTGATATGGAGTGTCAAGTGCTTTGGTTTCGGACAGGCCTGAAAGACAAGCTGAGGTTCATGCTTAATCATTCTGTTCCTCAAAGAGCGGGACCACACATTTGCAAAGCTTTATTATTACTGCATGCATTCACATGATGTGACTCAAACAGTTCACTGTCAGGAATAGGATAGAAAAAGATCACTGACTTCGCTACAGAACTGTTTGGTGTCCCTAGAGTTAGATGAAGAATTAACAAGGCTATGTGAGTAATTTGTTTGTGGACTCTGTTGATGACAGGAAAATAAGGCAGAAGATCGCAGATACTGGCTATTCTGTAAGACGCAAGCCAACAAGGAAAGGTTACCCCCGACCTCAAACCATCTTATTCAGCACATGCAACGAGCAAACTACCAAGTTTATGTTTGGAGAAGGGACATGATCTTCAGTATGTTGACGGTCATGGTTGAAAGACAAAGACGGTGTAAAGTCATCCTGTGTTGATGACAAAGCAACCAATGTAAGTCTAACAAAGGACTGTTAGAATTGACATCTTGCAAATGTAATGGTCAGTATGCTCTACAACAACATGTGCACGCAATGCCAATGAACTACTATGCACTGGTTTTTGTTTCTACATGTGTGAAGATGAATGTCAGAATCCATGTGAAATATACTGCCAAAACTAAGGGAACTAATGAAATGATAGTAAAGGTGTAATGACGATAAATGTCTCAGGCATACATTGACTATACAATATTATATAATGAAATGGTAAATGTATTTCAAGAACATTTTCCTGTATAAGCACTATGTTCTCTCTATGTTCCAATATACTGGTTGTCAGAAAGGCTGTGTTGAAGATACATTTTAACACATACGAGGAGCGTTCAAAATGTTTTGCAACTTCAATATAAGACCAAGTCGCAGAATATCTTTTGCACTTCTATTTTTCAATATAATCTCCATTCACCTCAATACACTTATTCCATTTGTCCTTCAAGCTTTTAATACCAATTTTATAGAAATCCGCAGATTGGCCCTCTAACCACGCCTCTGTGGCAGCCTTTATGTCCTCGTCATCCCGGAAGCGTCTTCCACGTAGGGCAGATTTCATTTTCCGGAACAGGAAATAGTCACTGGGGGCTAAGTCTGGGCTGTAGGGTGGGTGATTTAACTGTTCGAATCCACATTCACATATGGCGGCCTGTGCAATTCTCGACTTGTGAACCGGAGCGTTGTCATGCAAAAGTAGAATACCACGTGTTAACATCCCAGGGCGTTTCTGGCGAATAGTTTTTCGCAGTTCTTTTCATTACATTAGCATAATACTGTCCATTGATTGTAGTTTTTTGTGGCATGTAATCAATCAGTAATATGCCTCTTGCATCTCAAAATATGGTGGCCATTACCTTGCCAGCCGATGGTTGAGTGCGAAACCTCCTTGGAGGCGGAGGATTGGGGTGCTTCCATTGCATGGATTCCAATTTAGTTTCTGGGTCCCAGTGGTGAATCCATGTTTCATCACCTGTCACTAGACGAGAAAGAAATCCGGCTTCATCAGCAGTATAGAGATCCAGGAGGTCCTAACAACTTTCAGTTCTCTGATGGCAATCTTAAACTCTGAGGTTTCTAGGTACCCATCTTACAGATGCCCTGGGCATACCAAGATGCTCATGATAATGGTTGCAACAGTTCCAACTGATATTTGGAATTCCCCAGAAAGTTCAGATACTTTCACTCGTCGGTCAGACAAAATTCTTCTTTCTATAGCTTCAATGGTTTCCGGTTGGGTGGCATCTGAAGGCCTGCCTAACCTTGGGCAATTAATGTAATGAGACGATCTTGTGTGGATACCGACTCTTTAGGCCTGCCACGCCCATGTCTGATTGCATCCCCACCTGTTTGACGGCTCTTGACCCACAGTCTAGACATTGCACTTTTTGCTTTGTCAAACATTCGGGCAAACTTCTTATATTATTATCCTGTAAAATATCACTCCCTCTTAAACACTTGCTAAATTTCACATTTCGTATATTGATAGAGTAAAAGTGCACATACCTTACCAAATCTTATGCCTTTCAAAATATTTATAACAAAAAATGATTGGTGGCCCCTAGTTCACTACTAAGCCTATTAGTTTGGATTACTAAAGGCCTATTGATATGTTCAGAAATGTCCATTTCTTAAAACATATTGTAAGATGCAAAGAAAGTTATGAAAATAATGTGATATGACTGTCAATGCAGTACGAAGCCAGATATTTCGTTAATGAAAAAAAAAGGTTTGTTATGGCGGCCACTTTGTGGCCGATCGATATTGGGTCTTGACTGGATTTACATCAAGTGATTATTATAAGACACTTATACACTAAACATCATGCTTAGTTTTATGTGTGAATGAAAACAATTATTGGCCACAATGTACTTTACTGTTTTTGAAATAGCCATTTTGACAAATGTCGGCCATTTTGAAAAAAATGGTTGCCATGACTGCGATTGGCTTAATTAAAAAAACATTACAGCCATAAATCTTTGTTGGTCACTGAAGAACCTCTGTGCCATGTTTCATACGTTTATGACTCATGTAACAGTTATTACCAATATTTCCTCTGTCCCACAATGCAGATATAATGCAATAAAATGAACCTAGTTTTTATAATATGCACCTGGCATTGGACTGTCTCGTTTGTTACCTACCTTGTAGTTTGGTATTACATAGTACCTAGAAATGTTCAGTAGGCTCCCCTGGACCAAACTGTACAGTCAGACCTCAATGTAGTAGGTGTTGACCAGAATCTTTTGTACCCTGCCTTGTTCCTGTATACAGTGTGCCGAAAATACTGTTCACAGTGTCCAGAACCTTTTCACCCAGTCAGTGATACATGCAATATTCCCATGGCAACAACTGATTTTGTGATGAAACGTCAAGATGAAAAAAAACGAACGTTAAAGAAATCTATTTATGACTGGTTTTATATTATGATACATAAAATATAAAAAAAACAAACCTAAATGCCCCCAAAGGAACAACCGAAGGCTCTATTATACCCAAAGTTATGAATGACGCCGTCCTGGGAATGTTCAATGTCCAACACACAGTACGTCCCGGAAGAGCTCCAATAACCAGTATTACGTGGTATGTCAGGACTTGCTGCGACCCGTTCACCTCCATGTTGTGTTGTATGGGCGAGCTGGAACATGCGTTGAGGCGAGTGTCATACAAACATGTCATAGTAAGTATAGAAAAGGTTGCCCGCTAGATTCGTCGTGAACAGAAGGTGTCATGCCCCGCATAAGTATATTTGGAAGAAAAAAAACCCAAGAGTTATATATAACTTACTTGAGATGTGCTGAGGAATATATACATTGTGTTTGTTTAAACACCGCTTTGAATAATACTTCAGTTATATTTAATTTATTAGTTGTTCGCATCTCTCGAGGGGGTGGGAGGGCATACCCTCAATGTCAGTTTATGTTCCCCGAGCCTGAATTATATTGCAGGTATGTCTCTTCATGCAAGAACGGCCTCCGTGGTCTAGTGGAAAGTGCGCCTGCCCGGAGGGCAAACTGTCGGGGGAAGGTCGAAGGACGTGAAAATGTGGTACTTATTTTTGCCCTGCCTGGTGCTCGGCATTAAGGGACTAAAAACAAGGAATGGCGGGTTCGGAGTCAGTATACTTTGTTGAGTGTGGTATTCATGTTAAACTGCGGCATGGTATGTCAGTGGGCTTGTACTATAAAAATCGGCATCCGGACTAATTCAAGCAGCCACACACACACACACGCACACACAGGCACCCATTCATTTTGCACAAGACAGAAACACAAAATTTGAGTTATTCCCCCTTGATCTGTTTCATTCGAAGTAAATATATTACATGTGAGCGGCATACATGTACACATTGGAAATAATAGAATGGGTCTCAGCCAATCAGAATCCGACACTCATGTGTAAGGTAACTTAAATGGTGTGTCACCATAACCTGGAAACGTGACAGGCCGTAGACGGTTACCATCTTCGCAAACCCTCCATCATATTGTGCTGGCAAGTTCCATAATAGGGACCGGTCATGGACTCGAACACACGATCAACATATTCTAAGGGTCGCAACTCTGCACAGCGAACTGTAACAGTTTCAACCACTGAACCACCCGTGCCCCCTTTAATCTGAGATAGGATTCAGCTTCAGATATGTTTTATTCAGTGCAGACGCTTGCACCTATTTAGATGTACTCTGACACACAAGACTCATGTACACATCATTCTGTTACGAGTTCTCAGGTACGCCTTCAGATAACTTAACGTAGAGGAAAATGATCACCTGTAAACACCACTGGATTTGACATTACAAGCGTTATCAAACGTTACTAGGCTGACAACAGACGCCGAAACACTGCAGACGTAAGGTCCAAATCAAGAACTATCATACCCGTTTCAAATACATCACCATCGAATAACAAATTCTTATTTGTTTTAGTTTCAGCTACCATGAATCATGGGTCTATACAATCTTTTGCCCGGCAGTTTATAAGAGTGTGTATGATTGGTTGGAACGAATCATACTTGTGCGATCTTATAATTTACTATATCAGATATCAACAAATTCAATTGCAGTTCGATTGTTGTAGTGTTGTGTTATATTTAAACATCAGTGTTTACAACATGGATGCATTAGCAGTAATATTGGGAATCCTGTTTAAAATAATGGTGATATATTTCTCTGTTACCTTCCTGCCGTTTCATTATATCATTACATCATCATCATCATGATCTTACTTCACCATGTAATCCCTCCTTGAAGGAATACCCCCAACTACCCTCGTGTAAATCCATGGACATACTAGTATATGACACAATGCCTGACGTAGAGTACCCGAATACCCGCACAGGCTATACAGGATCTACCAGCTGTGTGACCCGTACGAGTATATGACTTTTGTTTGGTTGACCAATCTAACGTCTTGCTATAGAATGCCTGCCAGTAGAGTGATTATTGTACGAGACACTGGAACACGGGGAAATCTAGAGGTTATTTCTATTTCAGGCTGATATCAGGGCTTCACGGAGTTCGGAGTGAAAGATTCAGGCGTATTTTTGGATAGAGTTTCCCCACAGACCACTATAAGAAGATTCACAAGATGCAGGTATGTCATACGATCTCAGACATTATTACATTTGCAATATTTGATACTTCTAACTTCACCATGAAAGGTAAATCTATATTGAAAATGCTTGATCGTTCATCATGCCTTGCAGTATGCGGGAAAGGAAATCCTGATAGATTTGTTTTCAAAGTTTAACTTATGTGATCAAGGTTATGTACCTTTAACGTATCTTGTGAAAATATTATCTATTTAAGTTTACAAACAAATTGATGTTAGATGAATTTGAAACAATGCCATTATGGGGAATCAATGTTTTTTATTTTCGTTATATTCAAAACAATTATCATTGAAACATGACTACTGTTGCTTCTTGTGGTGTAAGCTGGTATGCATTAACTAGGTATAACATTTCTGTTAACGTGTTCTGTCTTTCCTCCACCAGGCTTACTGCTGTTTGTTGTGGTGTACACCAACATACACCCAGGACTGTCCAGGACACTGTCTCTCACGTCTGACCACTGTCAGCCATGTGGTCCTCCCTCGATGGATGGACTCCTTCAGCCACACAACCGTTCGCCTGGGTACATCTGTACCATCGCCAATGAATTCACCATCAAAATTGACATCCTTAGACGGACTGTCAGAAACCAACTGAATACGCTTGTGAGTTTAATCAGAGTGTTACCAAGGATTTTGATTTAAGAATTCTGCTAAGTGTTCTCCAACGGTCCTTAATATTCCCTTTTTTATGTTTTGTTGACAGACCAAATGCCATTTGGTAACACATTTGTGCATTAATCATTTGTTTGTTTGTTGTTTACCGTCGCGCTCAGCAATATTCCAGTTAAATGACGGCAGTCTGTTTATAATCGAGTCTGGAAAAAACAATCCTCTAATTGATATCATGAACACGATAAACAAAGGGGATACGATGACATGCATCAACCAAGTCAGCGACTCTGACCTCTTGCGACAAGCATGGGTTGCTGAAGACCAATTCGAACCCGGATCTTCAGCGGTCGTTAATTGATGAAGAATAGTTATTGTACAATGATTATTATTCATTAAGCAAATATTGGACAAAGGGAGTACGAATTACCGATATAATCGATTACCGATTTTTCAATCTTTAAATTGTTTCCACTGCAGGTCAGTGACGTATTTGACGGCGATGCCAGTTACTTGGAGTGGCGTTATCAACAGAGGAGACATTTCCTACTCTGTGCTCCAAGTGACTCGTCTCGGGTAAGTGTTTGTTGTTGTCATATCTACGTATAACAAAGAAGTCCACCGAGTTGTCAATCAGTCTTTGTAGTTGCTACTGGTTCATCCAATGAATAAACACATGTTAATCTTACAATATGTCTCTCTTTTCAGCTGTCACCAATGACGTCACTCTATGACCGACTAGTTGGCCTTCACATCTATGTCAATTTTACTGAAGGTTACCAGCAGTCCTGCTCTGTGACTATTGAGGGTATCGCTCATCGTGTGTCCCTGGCGTTGTGTGACCTGCATCTCATGATGAGAGTGACGTCCCAGACACAGGGCCACGACGACGTGTGTCGCAAACAATGCTGCCTGGCCACCGGCGGGTGTGTGTCGTTCCAGAGACACGCTTACAATGCTTTACGGTATGCATCAGATGTCCTGGAATCCATATGTCAGGAAGCTGGACTTTTGAAACAGGGTTGGGGGTGCTAGATGCAAATATTCTGAAATATTGTTGGTGCTTAATGTTATTCATTAATATAAGTCTTCGATGAGTATGAGTCAGTGCAATAGGTCTGGTACTATATCTCTTTTATCATTCTTATTATATGTTCCAATGCACTTCTTTAATAGTTCTTTATCATATAAGTCATCACTATGTATTGTTTTAATTTGGTTTAAGATTTGCAATTTGTGACGCCATCGGGTTTGCGTTATTTAATATATTTTCGAAAAACGTTCAAACAAGCCAAATGTTGCCAATCACATAAAACAAAACAATAGCAAAAAATTGGAAAAAAGCTATACACAATGCTGATTATCTTACATTCTTGTTGACAATATTATTTTTACATTAAAAAACTTGTTGTTATATGGGAGAATGGAATCATCATATATTATTCATTTATGTACATGTTTACTCAGGTATAAAGTTCATATTTTGTTACAAATATTTTGATACATATGATAGCTCAAACATCATTTGCACTGAAATGGTACTTTGAATACGATGCCTCTTGTTTCACGTGTTTGAATTTGTTATGGTAAAAAAGAGAGCTCTTTGAAGATTTGTTTCCCATATTGATTGTTGATTTGTACATATGCTTTTACGTATTTATTGATTGTTTATTTTTGTACACTGTTTTCACTTATAAAGGCTATTACACTTGTATTGATGAAGAGACGTTTTTTGAGACTCATTTTGTTAATAAAATATAAGATATATGTGCTCTTCTGTCGCCTTGATATGGAAAGATATTTGTCATAATTCTAGTGTCACATATGATCATTGCCAAGTATTGCAACATTGACAACAGACATAATAAAGGTAATAAAACACAAAGTCGCCAGTATGCTTATTGTGGTTAAAAGGAACAAATGGAACTGACGTTTAGTCCACAACCTGAAACAAGAGTTGATGTTCTGTCGTTGGACAAAAACATGTGCACATGATGCATACCATATGTCGTATAAGCCATTAACAAGCAACTGACATGACAGATGATTTACTTGAACTGTATACATAATGTCAGAACCCGCGAATGTACTTATACATCTACACCATCAACATAAGATATCCATGATTGGGACCATTGCTAAAACTGAAAGCCTAAATATGCATGTATAGGAAATGCGATCACCGTTTAGAAATCGCATCACTGGCATAGTTTGCTGTGTGTTGTGTGAAGGCCATGTCTTGTGTACTTCACCGTGATATTGGTTGGACTGTTGCTTGAAGCGGCCATATTTACTCTGTCTATCTCTGTAACTCAGGGTAACTCAGTCAGATGGCCTTCACAAAAAGCCATTGCTATCCTCATGCACACAACATGCACAAACAGTCACCTGCATTATCATGTTTACTCTATCAAATAGGGAACTTCTTAACAAAGAGACAGTGGCGATTAACAGTTGTGATATGTTTTGAACAATGGCAAAATTGAGTTCCGAATTGGCTGGAGACTGATTTTTACCTGCACACTTTCCCCACATACTAAACCTCTTTTGGTGGAAGTGCATGACATGAATAAAACACCAACAGTTTATAATTATCTGAAACATTAAATGTGTACCATTGTATGGTGAATTGAGGATATCCCACTTGAGACGTGTAATGTCGTATTTTTTTTATACCTCGAACATCCGAATTGTATTTGCTTTTGGCAATTAACAAAGGCCCCGTGTTCTCCTTCTGGTTCACCTGTGAATTCAAATAATGATACGCATATGCACAGTTACTTTGACAGTTGGCGAGGTATGACAAGGACACCTTCGCCTAATTTTGCTGACATATTCAAGAACTGATGATTATTAATTTTGTGTTATATATTGTTAAAATTGTGATTAGAAGTAATAATTTTACTCTGAATAAGCATGTCGTGTCTTCAATACACGTGTCAGATCCAAATGCAAAGATAAGGATAATTAAACATGTTTAATTTCGAAAATGCTGCTTTCATGGCATATTGAGTTTTCAAGAAAAGCTTTTCTAATATTTGATCTAAGCTGATTTTCTCAAGATTTTCTCTCATGAAGGTAGAGACGTAAATATCATTTAATGAAAATATTTCTCATGTGATCGTTAGATTTCTTCAGAAGTTTGATGACTCAGCCTCTTTCACTCATTTTAGCCATTCCTCGATTCTTGGTTTTGTTATTAGTTCATAACTTGGGAGTGATAAAAGGGTAAAAGCTCTATGTCTAATATTTTTCATAAGATGTTTGTTACTACTTTGCAATTTGCCATTCCAGTGGGCCAAATGGGGCATTCGTCATTTTTTTAAAAAAACCCAGCCTTTTTACATTTAGACAACATCTCAACATATAATAGTAATATAATATGATATATAAGTTAGAAACTTCCACGTGTGATCTGATCAGGCATTGTGTAATTTCGGGTATATTTAATAGCAAATAACAAACTAAACCACTATACTCTCTCTACTGAAGAACTGAAACAAATTTGAACTTCAACATATAAAATGATATCGTTTACAAGTGCCCTATGAAGTTGAAATTTGCTACAGGAATTTGTTCTGGAGATCAAAGATGATATATGGAAGAAAGATTTTCTTAGACCAAAGTGTTGATAAGGGATATAGAGGACCATGAACTTATAAACAATAGATAGCATAACATAAATAAAGTACGAGGTTTCACAGTGAAATCACGACAACGAGGCATATGTGTAGACAATACTCTGCCACTTTGATGTTCACGATGCGAGAATATGATGAAAACAAGTTCGCTGTTTATTTTTAGTAGGAAAGAGGATAACATATAGACCACATGATATCTACAGCTGACGACAATGAAGAGAAACACTTGTCAATGAAATTGTAGCTTTCAACATTCAAACCATGTACATTCTACAGAAGCGTATTATCATGTTGACTGTGTCTATTTGTAATACTTCATGAATAACAACTGCCTCGTGCAGGCGAGTGCAGGAATTGTAAGTGTAGTAACAGTGTAGTATTTCCTGGAATCCACACGTTCCTGGGTAGGGGCAGGCTAAAGGCTATTGTGATCTGATTTACAAAAGCAGTTGTACTCAATTCATGACACTGAACAAAGACTCTCTTACTCTCTTTGACTGCAGTTCTTTTATGGCAAGGAGATTCCCGCTGTAGGTGATTGAACATTGTGAACCCGTACACACTGAATGTCACGGTCATGTCACTTGTTTCAATATTTGGTGTGATAAATATCAGGTCTTTGTATTGGTTTATTTGACATTTAAGCATGCTGTTTTTGTAATGTTGTAATGCAATTAAGAACCTTTACATAATATAAGCATGGTTTTGAAGACATAAGAAAGACCTTGCATCTTATATAAACTTAATAAACTGCCGGGCAAAAGAAAGTATACACATAAAAATTGGATTTGACCAAAACATTACAAATGTTGGTAAAAAGGTACTAGGCTGAAAACAGTCGCCGAAACACTGCAAACTTCAGGTCCAGAGCACAACTGTGATGCCGTATCGAACACATCATCATCATCATCATCATCTTCCTCGAATAACCATTTCTTGTTCGTTTCATTTTTATCCACAATGTGTACGTTCTTTTGCTAAATGTCTCTTTCCTGCTGTATACGTCAGGCAAGGGTTGTAATGAACTAGTCAGTTATTAAATATGGCGCATATATGTTAGTCATGACACATTCAAAATGCCACCTAAAGAAAGTTTTGTCTTGTAGTGAAGAAACCCCAGCACTCCATATCTCCACTGAATGTCTAGTACTACACAAAGCAATACTGTTGTAATCCCCTCCTATTATGAGCAGAAATACATTGTACATATATACACATGATTGGTTAATGTAAGAAGAGCATATGAAATACGATCTATGTAGGTATAATAACTTAGTTTTATGACTCGGTGGCACCCAATCCCGCTTGAGATCACTCTTAGGGTTATACCAAAAGACCTACCAGGGCCGGAATCGCATATAGTCTATAAATAACGCTAATGGAATTCATCAGCGATTTGTTCGATACAAATGCATGTGGGTATATCACTCATGATGAACCAGTCCGTCTTGGCGTCACCCTCTATCATATAGAAACATTAGAATACCTGTCCATTATAAGACGACTTACGTAATTAATGATCCAAGTTTGATATACTCCTTTGCGGATTGAGGGAATATCGTGCTTCTATTCCAGGCAACCGTGATAACCAGCATCTATATTTTGGCGAAAACAGTTCATTGGATATAGGACGGTCGGGTAGCCTAGTGGTTAAAGCGTTCGCTCGTAACGCCGAAGACCCGGGTTCGATTCCCAACATGGGTACATTGTGTGAAGCCCATTTCTGGTGTCCCCCGCCGTGATGTTGATGGAATATTGCAAAAAGCGGCGTAAAGCCATACTCACTCACTCACTCACTCATTGGATATATATGTTCTTCACCGATTGCTATAAAAGCACCAACGATAAACAGGGAAGTAAACTACTTGAGAGGTCGTAATAGGATATGTCAAACATTATGGATACTATGAAAGTTAATCTAGGCTCGAGAACTGTCATACTGTATTGTAGAGTGTTTATTTGATTTGGTAGAAAGTGCTCTAAAATATTGAGTGTTCATGATCTGAAAGACATTATGATTCAAGACTAAAGATTCAAGTAAACATTGTGAATTAGGAGCAACAATTATGTTCGTGTAATGTATTTGGAAAAGGAGGCAAAAACACCTTGAGAAAATGTGACTGTCGTCATTAAGATTTAGAGTTCATAAAAAAATCGTTTTACCCCAGTCAACAATGAAATATTAAGTAAACCTAAACTCGACATAATTCCCATCATCATGTTCCCTCTATTATGAGGCCTACTGTTGCTGGTTGTGATGTACATCAGCATACACCTACAGTCCTACATACAGGACTGTCCAGGACACTGTCTCTCACATCTGACCACTGACAGCCATGTGGTCCTCCCTCGGCGGATGGGAGAATGAATTGACATCCTCAGACGGACTGTCAGAGATCAACTGGATACGCTTGTG